AGTATTTGGCAACTCTCCTGCTTCAGTATTGACCTGGTTGGTTAAGCAGTGGTTCCCAAGCTGACCGCTCATGATCCAAAGGATTTCTGGATTACAGATTTCTGGATTTATGTCATAAACCTCATAAAAATTAAAGAATTTCCTAGTCAGGAGGGATGTTATCCAGGTAGMAAATGGGGATGATTGAGATGCCACCACTTCCAGCCTCATCTTCCTTTAAGGTTGAAGTTTTCGTTGATTTTTTTTTTATGACTCCCCAGGTCTTAAATGTGGAGAACTTGGACCTGGAAAATTTGGACTTGGAGCATATCAGAGAACTTCTCAATGTGATGTTTTCTTAATGCTGGGAAAAGCTTCACTGGTATGAAATGAAAATATTTTGCATTAAAAAAGGTCCTTTATTTTTTGGGCAGGGAACTATCCAAACGAGGCATTTGGATGTTTCTGCGGTCATCGGAACTGTCCAAATGCCATTAAATGTCTGTGTGTAATCAGAAGTGCTGAAGTGTTCTTCAGCGCTTAACCAAGGGCCCTCTCTGGCCTTTCCAATGGGCTCTGTAGCCGTTTTGAGGTGGYTTCATCATCTGGATCCTTCTCCACRGCTCATAGCTGTTAAGTGCAGGTAGCAAATGTTGGGGAAAGGGAGAGAGCCCTCCGAGGGCCCTCTGAGCACCTGTAATTTGGGGTGGGATCCGTATCTTCAGAAATGCCATGTGATGATAGGTGCCAAAACTGTGCCTGGAGGCGCCTTAGTTGTCCATATAGAAATATACCCTTAAATAAGACCTTAATGGAATAAACCATGGTGTTTTCCCCCACCTCCAGCTGCGTGGAGGGTAAGAGTGATGTTTAGCCCCCAGCTAAATATGAGGAGTGAGAGGGTGGCCTCAAAACACCTTCCTGCACCCAGGGGATCCCCTGCAGCACCAAGAGCTCTCAGAAGCAGCATGATAAGAGCAGGCCAGACTCGTTGAGATGAGGTTAAACCTGGTGGCTGTGGCGGCTTGTGACACTGGAGCTGGACGTGGGTCTGGGAGCCCTGGGACGTCCCCTCTCCAAGGTGTGGAGCAAGGAGGAGGCCGAGGGCTTGGCCGGTATGAGAAAACCAAGCGCTCCCCCTTTGCGTGTCCTGGAAAACCAAGTGTTCCCCCTTTGCGTGTTCCTTCTGCAGCAGCTTCTGCCTCCTGGCTGCTCTGCTGCTTCTTGCCCTTCTCCCCAAGTGCCCGTTTGCACCGCAGGCAGCAGAGCCTGTCCAGGCAGTTCCTCCCTGGCGCCTGCTGCTCCCTTGGTTGGACCTCCTGATCCAGCCTGGTTTGGTTGGGCTCCCCAGCAGGTCATCCCAGAGGGGACCGAGGACACCAGTGTTGGGCGCGAGGGGTTTCTCATTTGCGGAGAAAATACCCACTCCGTTTTGTGTGTCCACCAAACAAGGGATAAAAAGGGGTGTCGTGAAGAATGAGAAAACGAAAAGGAAATCTTTAGACAGCCAAGTCTGTGCTTGTTGTGGCATGGTGCTTGGTGGCATGGTGCTGGTCGTACTACATTTAATCTTTGGGATGGGCCAAGGCTGCTTTCCGGGGCTTTAACAGAGTTTACTGCTGCTAACCTCACACTGGGCAGTGAGGTTGCACATGGGCACCAGCTTCTTCAGGACTCACTGCCTCGAATCCCTTCATCTCATCAGCATGTTAAAATGGTGGGTTTGAAAACCCCAAATGGGGGTTTGGGGGATGGTTTTGTCCTGTGGCTCTGTATTTGGTTTAAATATTGAGATCTGCACCTGACAGCGACTTAACTAAACGTCCCCACTCTTCCCACTTCTTCCCTCACTCTTCCTGCTCCTTCTCTTGACCCTTCTCCCACTGCTCCAAGGTTCTCCTCATTTATTGATTATTAAACCAAGTCTATAGCTAAAAAAAAAGGGCAAAAAAAGGGACTTGAAGCTCCAGTGCTCAGATTTGACCTGTTTGCAACTCTGAGATGAGTTGGGTRAGGGTCTTGCTGCTGTTGGGCAGGTCTTAGGGCAGCCCCAAAAAGCGGGAGCAATGGGCCCAGAACGACATGGATAAATGGAGCAGTGGGCAGGAATGGAGGCAGCTCTGACCTGTTGGAGACAGACAAGGGCTGCGGAGGAGCTTTGCTTGAAAGGAAAGCCCTTAATGCAAAAAAAAAAAGGAACTTTTAATGCAGAATGGGAAGGACGGGCAGCGAGGAGAGGAAGGCTCCTTTGTAGGAACAGGAGTTGATGAAAGGCAGGAGAAAAGGCTGCCGGGGAGAATTTGGGTATATGCAGAGCATGAGATCTGAGTGAAATCTGTTTAATGACATGTCAGAAGAGGTTGTTCACAAACCCACCAGCTTTTTCATTCCTCTCTCTTTACTGCTTTTTTCTTTCTTTTTTTTTTTTTTTTTTTTTTTCCATATTTGGATGCAGATTGTGGAGTTCAAAAGGCCTGTGAGTAGAGGGAGAAAAAGGGAGAAAAAAGCACTGATTTGGGTAATGAAGAGATGGGAGGGGAGGCCCTGGAAACTGCCGTCCAGCAGCTAGATAATAAATTAGGCAATAGAAATCCAGTTTGCAGTTAGAAGGTTTTGGAGCGCTCATTCAGATAGGCTGGCAGGGTGGTGGGTGTGCAGGGGTAAAACTGACGGGCAGAGAGGTCATCACACATGGTCAGCACCAGCTGCTGGGGCTACAGTGTGGTCTAGTCAGACCCAGCGCCTTAGGAGAACAGCTGGGGAAATGGGATTTGGGGATGTCGAGTGCTTCCCCCTTTCCTCTTGTTGTTCCTCTGCACCGGAGATGTTTCTTTAGTTGGAGTCACTGAATTCTCAACGTAAGTACCCCAGTGTTCACAGTGAGGTGGCCCTGCTGGACAAGACGTGTCCAGTCACTCTTTGTCACTGGCTTCAGCTGCCCCCATGCCGTCGGCATCTCACACAGGTTCATTTGGTCAAATTCCACCTTTCACTCGCGTCAGTGGCACAAAACTCTTAGTACTGTTGGAGTCAGAAGGACCATTACCAGGACCATCCAGTTCACCTTGGTCTTGCTGCCAGGGCTCGTTGCCTTCAGCCCACCTTCGGATGTCACCGTTGCCATGGGTGTTTAATCCAAGGGACAAAACAAAACGTGATCCTGCTGATGAACTGAGAGGTTTGCAGGTTTTGGGGGGTCTCAGTGATGAGATTTTTGGGGGTGTGGGTAGCAAGGCAGAGCTTATGATGTCCCTCATGAGATGGGAAGCCTCCGATGGGGCAAATCAGGTGCTGGCCAAAGCAGCTGATGGGAGGTGCCCTGAGATCATAGTTGCTCTGTATGAGGAGTGATTAACTTGGCATTCAAGGTGAAGCACAGTAATTGTTTACRTTTCTTTAAATATATCTCTATATGTCAATGTTAAAACATGAAGTTTGATTTATTAGCAGCTTCTGTGGAATAGTAGCGTGTTTTGCATCAGCAGCAAGTAAAAGCTTTCTCAAGCTTCCTACTTTCATCTCAACTGAGCATTTGATGCTGCCACTTCTTCCATATTAAGGAAAAGCTTTTATAAATTATTCATCAACTTCCATAGCTCTTCCTAGTTCATAATGAATGTCTAAATAAATGCTGGTCTTCAATACGGTTGATGCCCATGTATCTTCTTGGTGAGGCCACAGCTGGAGGGCTGGCTCCGGTTCCGAGCTCCCCAGTGCTACAGAGACACGGAGCTGCTGGAGCGAGCCCAGTGAAGGGTCATGAAGGGACAGGAGCGGCTGTTAAGCGCGGAGAGGCTGGAGCAGGGAATCCTCGGGGGAGGCCTTATTGGAGGTAGAAGTGTCTGTGGAATAAGGGTGGGTGGCATGAAGAAGACAGAGCCAGGCTCTTCTCGGAGGCAACCAGGTGCTCACACGCTGGGTCGGGCTTCCCAGGGGGATTGTGCAGCCTCCGTGTCTGCTGCAAACTAAGCTGCCGTTAAGGGATGAATTGGGTTCACAAATGATGTCACGTGTCTGTTTGTTTGGTTTTTTAACCATGAAAACGAGGATGGGAAAGGGGAGTGACTCCTTGTTAGCCTGGAGCAGGTTTCCTGTGTCTAAGCACCTAAAACCAGTGTGGAACACAAGGCATGCCACTGGATTTTAGACCTGGATGACATCCCATTGCCATCATGGCTAACAATTGCCTGAGTCAACCTCGCTGTTAAAGCAGTAGATGGGTTTCATCTCCATCCAGGCAAAGTTCTTTTTCTCCCTCCTTTTCCATTAATATTTTATTAACCCCTGGAGAGATGTTTTGCCCATTTTACGTGTACCAACGTGCTACACTTATGGTGTTTCTGATGTCGTTRCAAGGAACCCCAAAGACTCTTCCAGATCTCGGCTCCCTGCAGCCCTTGCTTGGAAATTGCTTGGAGCAGCAGCAGCAGCAGCGAGTGTCAAGCGGGAGCCGTATTAATTATTTGGAATGTGCCTCTTAAGAGGAATCAACGGCTTTTATTGCCACACGAATATGACTTGAAAGGGGAAGGTTACTCGAGCTCTTCTCATAATCTATGTGTCATTAACTCCTCTTGTTTAGAAGAAGAGATTAACAGCCCCAGCGATGGTTAGGGTAAATAGATGAATTACAACAACAGGCCCTTATTGTAGGTAAGAGTTGCTCGCTGTAGTTGCCTCCRGGTCGCTGGAGAAGATGAAGGTCTTCAGCACTTCTCAAACCAGATGGGCAGGTTTGAGAGGGGCTTCTCACCCAGGGTGGGAAATTTGCCGTGAAAGGTGGTAGTGGTAAAATCGGTATCACTAAAACTCAGCAGAGTATCAATGTCTGCTTGGGAAGAGCGGAAGAAATGTGAGTATTTCCAACTTTTAATCTTCTTCCTTCCGAATTTCAGTGCATGTGAAAAGCAGGCGACAGAGCAAAATGCTTGCAAGCTGGTTTTTAATATGGTGCCTTAAAAATGTGGTGTTTTTAACGGTTATGGGAAGCTGTGGAAACTAAAACGCTTACTTGTCCACAGGGCAGGCTCACCACGGGCAGGTTTCCTATATTGCCCCACCGATCCACCTGGATTCGGACATGGAGAGACCGCCATCCAAGGGTGAGTGACCGACGCAGCTCYGCGTGCGAGTGTTGCCCCAGGGCTTGAGTGTGTGTCGAGTGGTCACCAGGTCTCCAGGMAAAGGTACCACGTGCCGTGTAAGAACATTGGTTGGAGCAAAGTGAGTCCATTGGGAGAGTTGTACGAGGGTTGTCTSAGTGTTGGTACAGGAGCGGGGATACTCCTGTATATCCCACATATGGGAATATGTGTTGAGGTTCAGGCTTGGGTTGAGTCCATAGTGTCCTTGCCCTGGGGTTTTACCGGGATCCTTGGAGATTTCCCGACTCCAGAGGATGACTCGAGTTTTAGGTGAGCTGAGTTGCCCTTGGGAGATGGCTCCCAGTGTGCACGGCTTGAGCCAAGACTAGTCTTGCTAAGATGGGTGCGTCCGTTGAGCTCTGAAAATGAAGTGATAGATGGGGCTGGGTGTCCTTGGTGTCTCAGCCTGATGTGGAGGGTCTTCCCCGTGGGTTTGTGTTGTGCTGGACCCCGATGCTTGTCCCCATGGCTTGGGGAGATGCTCTGCAGAGCGTGGACCCAGACTGACACAGGCTTCGTAGATGTCACTTTGCTGCTGTGAGTTAGGTTGTCACTGTTGCGGTAGGACGTCAAGATGATGGGGTTTTTCTTGCTTTTCTGTCCCATGCTGTGAGTGCGTGTGTGTGCATGCATGTGGTGGTGCATCTGAATAGAGAAGCTGTCATCACCTACCGGGAAGTCTGCTGGAGCAGGGGGTTGGACTGGATGATCTCGGGAGGTCCCTTCCAGCCTCAACCCTTCTGTGATTCTGTGAGGAAAACCGTCTTCTCACCCTCCCCTCTCCATCACCCCTAATGCTCTGAGAGACAGAGCCACCTCCATGGTGGGAATTGCAGTTGTGACCATGGACGTGTCCACGCTCCTCAAGTCCGAGGACTTTGCAGGCTAAAGGCAAGAGCTCAGGCTCTAGGTTTGGAAGATTCCCTTTAATTCAGAGTGAGCTGAAGCTATCAGTGCTACTTCTGTGTGATTCCCAGAGCTGGCCTTTCCAAGAGTGCTCTTTTAGGACAGGCTTCATAAAACCACTGCTTTTAGGCACCTCTTGAGCTCCCGGAGGCTGCTTCATGCTCTGCGAAATGAGGTTCCCGGCTGTTTGCAAGAGCTTTGAGGGGAAAWGGGTTCTAAAGAAATCGTAAGAAACGACATTATCCCTGTCTCCCCCAGTCCTTCCTTTTCCAGGGCATCAAGAAGAGCAATGGTTGGGTATGTATTGGTGTTGCACTTACTATGGCAAAAAAAAAAAAAAAMCCAAAATAGTAGCAACCACCTTCCTATTTTAATTGTAATAAAAAAGAAGGGAGCCACTTTGGGAATGTGCAAACCCCTTGGCTTCCCATGTTAGACGTGATGCCCATTGGGCGCCGCTGCAGCTGCAGCAGATGTGTTCGTGGTGGCTCCTTCCCTCTTCTTGCTTTAAAATAGTGACATTTCCCCGCGTTGCTGTGCGTTTTCACCCGCCTCTCGGTGCCCTGACACAGGGCCTGGGTAGAGGATCAACTCCAGGAGTTTAGCAGTGCATTAGTGTCATCCTGCATTACCAGGTRATTACTCTGGGCCGCTGCTCTGTGTAGTAGCTCAGTAATGACACCGTAAATCACTGAATAAAAACAAAGGCCCGAGTCAGCATTCTTTAATAAAGAGGCTGCTTTTTCCTCAGCCCTTATTTGRGGGTGTTTTAAAACGAGCTCCCTCTCTGAAGCATCCTTAGCCATTGATTTTACACCTCCTCTTCATATAACAAGCTGGACACAGTTGCAGGGTTTTTATGCAGCTATTTGCAACATCCGTAGGCAGGATAATTCCCTAGCCAAGACTTCTGGAAATACATTGGATAAGGTCCAGTGGTGGTTGTGGTTGCTTCTTCATGACTGGTCCTGAACACAGTGAGAAATRGGACCAAAAGGTGGCTTTTCAGGCTCTTACATAAAGATAAGAAGTTTATTTACTTTATGTGAATTAGCTTTTACGTAATACACTTTCGTGAATTCAATCCTCCAGGAGAAGTTATTAGGTGTTAGTATTTCAGGAGCSCCTTTCTTTGGCTCAGGTGGTCCCATCTCACCATGTCTTTGAGGTGCATCACCTGCGGGATGAGGACAGACCCTTTCTTTTACCCCAAGTTGAGATGCTGTCGGCTTAGGCATCATAACCCATGTATAAAAACGGGTCAGTTGTTCCTGACAAGAGCAAGAATTTCAAAGATAGGAGTGATTCTTGTACGCTGGCTTAGGGAGGAATTTTATGAAGTTATCATCTACAGCAATAAATTAAACGTAGTGTTTGAACTGAAAATCTGCAGGGTGCTAAATACGGGCAGGAGAGGGAATGAAACCTCAGTGCATCCGTGTGCTAAAACTGCTGATGCAGCTTGATGGAAACGGACTCTACTGAGTGTGCGGAATCGTATTGGGCATGAAGTAGGTGCAGGGCTGGTGAGGTGCTCTCCTGGCCTGTGGAGCTCCGTTTTCCAAAGGTTTCCCTCAAGGTGAAGCTCAGGGAGAGCTGAGAGGTTCCRGAGATCGATACACCTGGAGCCAGGTTATTTCCAAAACATAAAATTATGGTGATTATTGACTCCCRGGTCTGTAAATACACGTGGAGGAGGAACATGGTGCCATGTTCACTGTGAGACCCTTCTCTACCTTCTCTTTTTCCACCCCCTCTCCCCTTTCTGCCAGACTAATTTTTGGCTACACTTCCCTGCTTAAATTATTTATAGGGCAAATAACTGTTTTAAATGAGCAGATGGGGGAGACATAAGACAAGCTGTTAAATTAATAAACATGTGCGGTGCTTTATCAGGGAGGGAGCCCGTTTTGGCATCTCTTTGGGATGATTTGTACGGCCTATCACCGTTGCACCTGGTGCAGGGACGAGAAACGGGCACTTAATAACCCAACAATGTGCAAACTCCTTCCATTATAACTTCATTATGTCAGATATAATCGTCTATAACGAGATGTCAGCTGCATTATTTATGGCCCGCTCCCCTGTGGAAGAGCGGTCATAGGAATGAATGGCCCCATTAATGGTGAGGAGCTTTTTGCTGTAACTTTCCCCCTCCTGGAACGTGGTCCGTTTTGGCATCTGGTATTAATTCCGGAGCATTTCGGGCCTGCAGAGAAATGCCGGTTATATTTATATTTGTGTAGTGGGGAGAAGATGGCACATAAATCACACAAGCGATCCAATTTCAGTCCCCTGATTTCCAAGGCATGCTTCCTTTCGAGATAGACTCGGACCAGTCTTCAGCAGGTCTTGGTTTTACCTCTTTGGAGACCTCAGGGACCTTAAAAGGATCCTTAAGGACCTTGGAAAGGCAGCCGAGCTGAGGGAGCCCTCCCAGGGACTCCTTGGGACCTGTTGAAGTTCTCCACTGCTAATGGAAAATGGTTTTAAGACCAGCTGRGGTATGGAATGGTTACCCAACGGAACATGGATGTGCCCCAGGCTTGGGATGTGGATTTCTGCACGTTACGGATGCTACRGGCTTTGCTGTGGAGGAATATCATCCAAGTGAGATGCTATGGCATCTTCTCCATGGAAAAAAAGARTATATACATATATGTGTGGTTGTTGTATGATGCACAAAAGCACTTGGGACTTGTGGGCTGCTCGCTTGGGATCAGAGATGGCTGAAGAGGATGGGTTTGCTCCTCAGCACTGGTGGCCCTAGTTCTCCTGAAATATTTGCCCTTAYAGAACAAATATTTTTTGCTCTCTTCAAAAGGGCACCCTTTGGCCCTTGGATTGCCCTAGCAGTGACTGCCGGGTTGTTCTTCTTGCCTTTCTGTGTGTCTTTTGGGTGGGTTTTTTTTTCAGCTAGGGAGGTTCTGGTGATGTTGTGATAATATGTTCAGAGGGAGAGTTGTTCCTGTGAACTGGCTCCTCTTTAAAGGCGCCTGTGGAAATCCCAGCCTTAGTAAGTGCCTCCTAAATAGTGATCAGCAGGTAAACAGTATGGAGCCCTGTTGTTGCGACTGCAGCTTGGCTCCCTCGTGGGAGACCTCAGGACTGGAGCTTCCCAGCCAAGGAAATTCTGGATTGATCACTGCAATATTCGCTGGGAAGGTGAGCGCTGCCGTCCTCCAGCTCCACGTGGTTCTGCCCTTGCTTCCCATCAGCTCCACGCAGTTCATGCTGCTGGAAAACTCTCAGGAAAGGGTATTTCAAAGCGCTCGAAGAGATGGCAGCGTTGCCTCCATGCAGGACTCCGAGAGCACCTTGCAGAGGAACTTTGTGTTCAAGCTCAATATGTCCAAGCCTGCCAACTTCCAGCCTTCCTTTTGCAGGCACACCGCCCTGGGAGCCTGCAAAACACACAAAATAAAAGGGATAGCTCTGGATGAAGCACGTTTATTTGTAATTTGTATTTAGGCATGTGCTTTGTAGCAGGCGTATCCGCTGCATCCGTTCTTTTCTGCTGGAGACACCTGCACGTGCCAGTGACGGCAGTGATGGACGCACCATCAGGGCGGCCTCCCTTGTTGATCTGCAGCTTTGTTGATCTCTGAGTAAGTCCTGGTTTTGTCTTTATTTCATCAGGCCCCCTGTCTTGCTCAGGCGTGTGACGTTACAGCGCCCACAAATTCAGTAACTGGCACACAGCCAAAAACTGCTCCTGGTGAGCAGGCAGTTGCGTTGCCCCTCTAGGGAAGAGAGTGGGATGGGCATCTAGTAACCATTAAGATAAAATGAAATGATAAAAATATAAAATAAAAAAATCTAAAAGAAAATAAGAAAAATCTAAAATAATAAAGATATTTTAAAATAATAATAATAAAGTAAAAYAAGAATATAAAATAATAAAAATATTTTAAAATAGACAGTAAAATTGCTGGGGGGCAGGTGCTTTGTGGTAATATGCTGTGCTCGTCGCTGTGCGGGCCGGGCTCCGTGCACGGAGGGAGTGCGAAGGGGAGGCAGGAAGAGTGAAGCCAATGCTCCCTTCGGGCTGGTCGCTTCTGCATTGGAGTTCACGTTTGAAGGTGAAAAAGAAAAATTTAAAAAAAAAAAGTTATTTTGAATGCTGGGGGAATTTGCACAAAAGAAATCTGTCAAACCCGAACAATTGAGAGAATTTATTTACTGAACTCCCAAATTGCCTCGCAGCAGGGAGCTGGAAGCGGCTCCGCTGCGAGGCCTTTGGCAGAAGCAGAGCAAATGCTTTCCCCAGCCCTGTTCAGCACCCGGTTTCTGCGCATTCCGCTGAATTAGTGCGTTTGGATCATGTAAACAAACATGCGGCCTTAATCCCTGGGTTTCCTGGCCTTTGGCAGTGCTACTGCCTAGTATGGGATTTAGGTACCTTCCGATTCRTTCGGTGCTAGGGCGATTCCCTAAAAAGCCGGCAGCCGAGTGGCGCGCGGGGAAGCAAGGAGCAGGCCAGAGTCTGGAGCAAAATACTGGTGTCGGCCGGCCGATTCCTCCAGGAGAGCATCCTCAAGAGCACCAAGGCTTATGGGGATCAACCAAGAGCAGGGATTCTTCACCTCCTGCGATGAAGGGGGTGCCCCCAGCACCATCAGCAGTCACCTCCTACCAGTGCTTCGTGACTGAGGAAGGGATGGAGCATTGCAACCCTGCGCTGGAGCTTCAGAACCCCAAGACGTGCTTGGAGAGGGAGACATGGAGAGACGTGGGAGAAGGGAGAAGAGCTGGGAAGAGCCGTGTGGGTCTTAACAGCATCCTGAGGCCAGTATCTGTTGTTGCACATGAGCCCAAGCATCCGACACATCCATCATCAGCAAAGTCACTTGTTAATCCAGGAACTCCGCAGGGCAAGGGGCGCGCTTGAGTGTCCCTTTGGCTGCAGCCTTGTACAGTGGTGGCTTTGTCCCTCTCCGGGGGCTCTGGAGAAGTTCATATTACGTTTTACTAGTAGAGGCTGCAGTAATTCATGTTAGAGCTCCTTGCATGCACCTGGTCGTAAACTCCAGGCACAAGGCCTGGCCTGAGAACTGTCACTGCCGGATTAAATACGACGTGAGCCGGGCTCGGACAGAGCGGAGGGAGCTGGAAGGCAGAAAGGAAAGGAAGGGAAAGGAGGAGGTAAGGAAAAAACGGGCAGAATAAAGAGCCGGAGCTAAACACTCCGGGCGGATTTGCAAAGGGAGAGCAGAAGCTGGAATATCAGGGTAGGTGCAGAGGAGAAACTGCAACAGTGACAACAGCGTAGGCCTCCATTCCTGTGGGAACTGCAGAGATGTCTCATTCTCATCCATTTTTGAGTCTCTTGGGACTTTCTTGGAAAGTTCTCCCTCCACCCACCACACTTGAAATCTGCCCACAGTTCTAGAAGGTGCGTGCACCGTTATGACCCAGGGTCTGTACTTACCTTTAAAGCTCCTGCAGGCTGCATCTGGTTAAATAACTGCAGCTCTGGGTAGAAATCACACATACAAGCTGACAGGGCTGACACTTGGAGCGTTTTGCAATCATTTGTTTAATTAGCTGGAGCTCTTTGGGGAGAAGTTTATGAAATGGCATGCTCCCAAAGTCTAATTTAAACCTTTTTTTCTTCTTTTTTTTTTTTTAATTGATGGAGGGTTCATAATGCAAAGTGTTTAAAAAGATGCAAGTGAGTGGGAAGGAACAAAACCCCCCAGATACTGAAATGGGCAGTTCCCCTCGGGTAGGACCCAAGTACAGGATGGGGATGCAGAGTTTCCATGTCGTTCTGCAGCCAATGCCCTTCCTCACCTTCCAGCTTCCAGTGAAATGGTTCCTGATGTGCAGCTTCACCTCCCCACAGACCCCACCAAAACATTAATATCCACCCAGCTCTTCCTTGTTCCTGATGCAGGATTAGTCACTCCGCGCTGCCACGTACATATCCGATACTTTGCAATGGGCTTTAGTTGAGCAGATGGGTGATAGCAGCACCAGGGCGAAAGAAAATGGTCCTCGAGGCTGCTGCGTGCCTTGGAGATCTGGACAGCTTTGATCCCTGCGGGCTGAGGAAGGATTCCGTACAGGACACTCAGGAGAATGGCTTTCAGCTCCAGGTGCTTGGCCACCGTGGCTTGTGGAGGGTTGAGCTGTAGTGTCTTGGCAAGGGTTGAGCCTTAGTGTCTTGCGGCCTGATGCATGAAGCCAACCCGCCAGGAAGCAACTGCGTAGTTGAACATGGGTATGATAGTGGGTTGGGGTAAGAGCARACATCTCTCTGGCTTGGTGCCCTGCCTGCAGCCCTTCTACGTGGCAGATACCTAGGGAAGAGGGTCGGAGGATGAGACTTCGTAGACTTGCCTTCCAGCTCCTACCAAATTGGAGCTGGGCCTGTTAGAAGGGAAAAAAGAAAAGCAGCAGAAGGGGCCACTAGCAAAGAGCCTGAGCTCCAGTGTTGGGTTTTGTCCATCCAGTCCAATCCAATCCAATCCAATCCAATCCAATCCATCTTCCAGCCTGGTCCCTAGCATGTCCTCCAGGTGAGCTCCGCTTCCAATGTGCTGCTGACTTCTGGAGCAGTGCAGACGTAGGGCAGACGTGCAGGAAACCTCAGTAGCACCCGGGCACTAGAGCTTTGAGCTGTGGCGGGAGCCTCAGCCTCTCAATGACCGCAGGTGCTCGAGGCAAAACCTGCCTGTGTCCTGAATCCTTGTGCCCAAAGAGGCCCCCGGGCCGCAAAGCAGCATCTTCCCAACTCCTGCTCCGTACAAGGAGCGTCTCCTGGCCATAGCTGCCCTGGAATTATTGACATGATTGAATAATTATTGTTAACTTTGAATAATTGACTGAATTGATTGAATTATTCACGATTCATGCATGCTGGGTGACCACTGAAGATGGTGAGTAGAGCTAAAAGTTGGACCTCAGGTCTCGAGATGCTCCGGGGTGTCCTTCCGTAGCAGGAAGAGTGGAGATCTGGGGAGCTTTTAATTTAAGCCTTTTTCTGGGCAAACACGCTGCTGTTCGGGTGTCTCACCTGTCTCTCCATTCAGTTTGATCACCAGGAAGGAAACGGGTTTTATTGGGCTTATTTTTACTCCGTGATGACATGAACGTTGGCTGGAGGCTGCCAAGCTGATGGAGATGGGCTTCCATCTGTATCAGACCTCAGCGTTTTTCATACACCCAGTAAATTTTGACCAACTTAACTTGGAAAAAGCATTGGAATTTGCCCAGCTTACCAAGTGAAGCTTTCCTCGGCTGCTTCTCCACCCGCAGTTTCAGCAGGACATTGCAGGGTTGCTCATGGGGGTTTTCGTGTGTGTGYGAGCGCCCAAAATAACCCCGAATGAGATCAATGGGGAGCCCTGCAGGGCCCCACTTAATCAGGTAACGAGGCTGAGGTTCAGGTGGAGCTGCCCTGCGGTTGCTCCTTGCAATCAATGCTCCCAGCAAAGGTGGAGGGCGGTGAGATGGTTTTCGGCCAAGAGGTAACGCTTTCACAGCAGGAAGATGCAGTGGTCAATCAGCGAGAACAACCAGCATGGAGGATGCCTTCTAGCCTGATGCTCCTCCTGCCTTCCCCTAAAAATAAACCCATGATTGAAGGCTGCTTTTAATGGCCCAAATTGGGGCAGAATTAGGGAAATGAGGAGGGAAATGCGCCTTACATGAGCCAGTGCTGCACGCACCCCTGCGCGTTATCTGAGCTGGAGATAGCAGCGAGCAAAATAAACTCGTTTCCTTTTTAGTTTTTGCTGAATGCTGCTTTTCTCTGATGAAAGAGAGAGTTTTTTCTTTTTGCCTTTGACACCTGTAGCCATTTGCTGCAACCAGAGAAAACGGAGGGTAAAAATATCCCTATGATAATTTGGTAGTGTTTTGCACCAAATGTGCCTTCACTTTTGCCGAGGCAGAAAATGAGTAGATGGGGTACAGAAAATCTGAAAATCCTTAAAAATCGTGTGTATTTTATATTTTTTCCTGCATCTACTGATTTTCCATTGTCCTTTTTCATTAGCGGAGAGCAGAATGGATGAATTAGTGGTTGAGCTCTAGGCAGCTGTTGCTCCGGCTTCCACAAGCTGCACGTGCTGAGGGTGTTGGGGATATTTTCCCTTGCAAAGACATGAAAAAAACACCCAGCTTCTGTCATCTCTTCTGCTCCCTCTACGTTTTTATGAAGCAGGGGAGCCCGCTGCTGTGTTTTGAGCCCTTCTCCGGTCGTGTTCCTGCCTTTTTTTCCCCAAAATTGGCTTTTGCAGGGCTCTTTTTCCTTACACTCCGAAGACTTCCCAGACCTCAGCTGGCAGCTCTTGCGTTTTGTGAGACCTTTTCCATGGAGAGCAGCCTGGAAGTTGCTCCTTGCCACCTCTGTGGCAGAAATAGTCCCCRTCATGACAGTGTTTGAGCTCAGAAGAGCAGCACGAACAGCAGAGCAGCAGAGGGGCTGGGACTTGCATCTGCCGCTCACCACRGGGAGCAACAACTTGCTTGATTTTCCTCAAAGTCCACGTTTTCCACCGGCCGCCTTTTGCTGCAGACCYTTCCTGATAAAATTACG